GCAGCCCCTATTTGCAGTGGGCCCAGGCTGCTCTGGCAGCAGCCCCTGGTTGCAGCCAAGCCCAGCTGCCCAGCTCTTACTAAATTTTAAATTGCAGATCTGCAGCGGTTCCAGCTCACGCCAGTCTGGAGCCTACACCTGCTGGTGCTCTGCAGTGTAAGTGTAGTAGGAGCTGAGTACCTATGTGCCAGCTCCTACTATATTTAAACTGCAGTTGCAGCTGAGAGACCTCCTGGACCAGTGCGATCCAGGACAGAGTGCCATCCCTTATCGACTAATTGTGTAGTTGATATAAATTGTATGGACTACATGATTAGTTACCCGTCTCTTAACATCCTTACTGTACATATAAAATAATGGGTTCTAATTAGCTGTAAATATCATAAAAGAGATATTGGAGTCACCGTCTCTTAACATCCTTACTGTACATATAAAATAATGGGGTCTAATTAGCTGTAAATATCATAAGAGATATTGGAGTCCTTGTCGATAGCTCTCTGAAAACATCTACTCAGTGTGAAGTCATAGTCAAGTGAATACTGTTAGAAACCATAAGGAAAAAGATAGATAAGACGACAGTAAATATGTCATTATATAAATCCATGATACATCCACACCTTGAATACATTATGCAGTTCTGGTTTTTGCGCATCAAAAATAGATACATTAGAATTGGAAAAGGAAAGAGGAGGTCAACAAAAATGATTAAGGTTATGGAACAATTTTCATCTGAGGAGGTTAAAACTGGGGATATTCAGCTTGGAAAAGAGTTGACTAAAAGGAGTTGTGATGGAAGCTGATAAAATCATGACTGCAATGGAGAATGGGAATAGGAAAATGTTATTTACCCCTTCACATCACATGAGAACCAGGGATCTCCTAATGCAGTGTTTCCTGTTTTTATTTGGCCACGGAACCCTTTTCAGCTTAAAATAATTTCAAGGAACCCCTAGGGTTCCCAGAGTAAAATTTAGCAAGCAAAAAAAAAAAAAAGCCCCGCCAGAATTGGTTGAGCAAAAAAACTCTGCAAAATACTCTGTCTCTTTAAGAGGGGGCGGGGCAATTCCACATTCTCGCGGAACCCTTACTTTCACTTTGCGGAACCCTGGGGTTCCACAGAGCACCAATTGGGAAACACTGTCCTAATGAAATTAATAGACAGCAGGTTTAAGACAAAACAAAGTACTTAGCACCTGCTTCAATCAGCCTGTGGGACTCATTCCCACAGGTTAATACAGGTCAAAAGTATAGAGATTCTGCATGCAAGGCACTACATTTAGCCGTCAAAAGTATAATTAGGTTATAAAAAGAACTCTAGACAATTCCTTTTAACCAAGATATTCAGGGATGCAACTTCATGTTCTGGGTATCCCTAGCTTCTGACTGTCAGAAACTGGATTTATTATTTGATAAATTGCCCTGTTCTTGTGTCTCCTTCTGAAGCAACTGCCATTGTTAGCAGACAGGATACTGAGCTAGATGGACTATTGGTCTGGCCTAGTATGGGTATTCTTATGTTAATATCTTGCTAAAAGGAGTTGAATACTGTAACTTGTGGTTACAAGTATTGGATTCTTGTCTAAAAGGAGTTGAATACTGTAACTTGTAGTTACAAGTTACAAGAATCCAATACTTGTAACTTGTAAACTGGGAAAGAGGAACACTATCTCCAAACTCACCACAATTTCTGCACTTTTAAAAGTTTAACTTTTTGCTTCTTCAGTCTTCTTGCTCAGATGACTGAGCCTGTAGTTCGATATATGTGAACTGTTCCTATTACTACTTGCATTAGGGAGGGGAAAGATGCACAGATGTTTTCTGCTCCTTTAGTTACAGCTGTGATAGAACATGTGTGAATGAGGGAAAAGCAATGCATTGAGATCATGAAAGTTTCCCAGTCTCAGCTCCTCTCTTTTGTCTCCCTTGGCCTTTGGCGTTGTGGAAACTGCGTATTAAATAAACACTAGTTGATCCTGCCATGGAATTTGGGTAGTGTATTCCACTCTTTTTCTGCTTTCCAGTGTTCTATATGCATAGTGCTCTCCCAAGTTTGTAACACTTTCTTCATGTTGATGGGCCATAATTTGTTTAGAAGTAACTTTCTCTAGTCTATCATGGTATATTGGAAAAATGTTAGTGAATTCACTTAAACTCTCTTGTTCCAGGCACTAGTTGATGGTCCTTGCAGTGGTGTAAGAAGGCAGGCTATGCCCTTCAAATGCATGCAGCTGACTGATTTTGTACTTAAATTTCCACACAGGTAAGTTGTCTTTCCTTCTGGGCTGTGCAAAAGGTACTGACTGTTTAAATCTGACTTAATATAAACTAGCTTTACATTGTTTGTGATCTAATGGAATTTTGTGTCTAAAACTTTGAAAAGATCGTATGGATATGTTTTTTTTTAGAACCTTTGGATAATTTAAATCCAAGATTAATCAACTCTAATGTACTAGTAATTTAATGATGTGTATGCCGTTAAGACCTGGCAAACCATATGATCATGATTAAAAGTACTGGTTTCTTTCCTATGAGTATTTTGATACATAGCAGATTTGACTGAGGCAGCTGCTGTCCCATATTACTTAGAAGGAACAGTGATAAATGAATCACAGTAATGCATAACTTCATGAGTTGGCTCCTACCCAGTAGTCTATGGCTGCATATTACTTCATGAGTTGGCTCCTACCCAGTAGTCTATGGATGCATATTCAAAGTGAACTATTCAAGATCTTCTTTATTGAAAGAAATCCATACCTTATTTGTGTGATATATAAAATCACTAAGCCACAATCTCTACTGAGTACTATTATGAGATGTGCAGATAAAGCTTAACTTACAATCTCTACTGAGTACTATTATGAGATGTACTGTGCAGATAAAGTTTAACTTCTGCCTTTTTCTAACCTTTTTAGATTAATGCCAGGAGAGTAGTATTCCATTGTATCTTTTTAGATTGCCCATCCCTTCAATCCTAACTGCTAACACAAGAAAGAAGTTTTTAGGATAAAGTGAAGGTCACAGTACAATTTTTTTTTTCGGGACTTCAATTAAATTTGCTGTGTTTAACACGTTTAACATGGACTAAAGATGTATACTCACATTGTAACCTGTCTGTTGTTTGACTTCACTTATTTAAAATTGAAAGAGTGCTGAAGTTCATTTGTGTATTATAATAATGCAGATGTTGGTTGTTTAAATGCAGTGCTCGTCAGAAGCATGTGCGAGTTGCCTGGGAGAAAGAAAATATTAATGAAAAGTGGACAGCTACGAGGTGGGCAAAGAAGATTGAAGCTAGAGAAAAGGTATGTTTGATCTGCAGTGTGATATAAAATACTCATCGCTGCACCTAGCATGTTACTAAAGTGTCAGATACAATCCAATGGAAAAGTTTCTCGACATTAATATTGCAAAGTAAGATTAAAGGCAGAAAAAACATGGTTTGTCACATTGTAATGCAAGTTCTTTTATTAAAAACTAGGGATGTTAAATAACAAGTATTTGTATAAATGTGTAACCGCTGGAATTTTTAGCGGTTACATGTTTACATGGGGGGGAGGGGGCAGACAACCCTGCAAGCACTGGCTCCTGCCTGTGCCCCTCCCCCCACCTGGGGTAGAGGCAGCAGCATGTGGGGCAGGCAGTTTCACTGGAACCTGTATGCGCGGGGAGCTGGTTTGGAAGCTGCTTCCTACGTGTACTGGCTGACCCTCCCCTGCCTTTCACTGCTGCTGCCTCTCTATCAGAGGCAGCAGGGGGCAGTGCATGTAGTTGTTGGCATTAACTGATAAGACCAGGCTTATTGGTTAATTGTGTAAATCACTACACACTAATGTCCCTATTGAAAACCAGAAGGTTTTACCACTGAATTTAATCATTTATTTTTCTACTTTGCCATCTCTACAAACTGTTTTGTCTGTTCTCTGCATCAAATCATTTATTTTTCTACTTTGCCATCTCTACAAACTATTTTGTCCGTCCTCTGCATCAGCTTCCAGCTAGGAAGATAAATTGCTTTTAAATTCATTTTAGTGGTAGTTTGTAAAGTTCTTTGAGTTGTCTGATTGAAAAGCACAAGATATTTTGCAAAGTTACATTCTAACGTTCAAAGAATCAAACGGGAGATTTAACTTAACTAAAGTGCAAATTTTTTTCAACAGAAAGCCAAGATGTCAGACTTTGATCGCTACAAGGTCATGAAGGCAAAGAAAATGGTGAGTGGTTAAATGTGCAGCTGTCTTTAGATGGTTGAGTTGAAGTGTTTTTAAAACAAATCTAACTTTATTTTGAATCAGATTAAAATATATAATTCCTTATACTCATATTTTGTTCTTTGAGTTTGCTGATGCTTGTACATCACTGTTTTTCTTTTTAAACAATTCAATCTATATTTCTCTTGTTTAACTTCATGTTAGTCTTCAAAGTTGTGCACCAGACATCTCTGAGAACTGAAGTTGTCCCAGAGTTCATCGATTCTTTGTGAGGGATTGCTGTTGACAATATGAAGCACTGATTTCCCACCTCTTTTCAGAGCCACACATTGCTTTAATAGCAATGCTGCCAATCTGTGAAACAACAAACTGACTAGGAATCTCACCCAGACTTGTAGCAGGGCACAATGACTAGGCTACCAGACTTACAGGAGTCCATTGCCACTTGGTAAACCATCAGTGTCTGGGGGTACGTCTAGACTACATGCCTCTGTCTCCAGAGGCATGTAGATTAGGCTACCAGACATAGGAAAATGAAGCGGCAATTTAAATAATCGCCGCTTCATTTAAATTTACATGGCTGCCGCTTTGAGCCGACAAACAGCTGATCAGCTGTTGGTCGGCTC